CCAAATAGCAGTATTGTTCTGAAGATTTTTAAAGAAATCATGATACCTTCTATAAGAATGACACATTTTGAGTTATGTCGTTTTTGTAAATGACAAAGAAAATCTTCTACAGAGAATATTTAAAGTTAAGACAGTCTTGGTGATCGAAGTTTAAAGAAGAAATTTTTTTTATTTTGGATTTAGTCATTTCGTTTAATCAAAATCATCAAAACTGATCAAAAAAGGATAATTTTTTTAAGGATTGTGAAACAAAAATGACAAAAATGACATTCGATCATGTTTGTAAGAGTATATTTTTTTTGCTACTATTATTTGATTAGTCAATAATTGTTAAGTTGAAAAATATCGCGATAGAATGCAACACTCGTAAAACATAGCGAAATGAGCGAACCGCAATATTTAGTGCGCAAAATCTGTTGAAATCATGAGTCTTTGAGAACTGGGCCCATTATTCCTCAAAGCGAGGTAATTTTATGGTCACTCCCGCCGGCTTGGCAACGATAATCATGATCGCGCGATTTACGAACGAGTTATGCGGAATGGTAGAAATGACAGTAATCAATGAATTGGCATTTCCCACATCCAGGCGATATCCACCTCAATAAGGATATCTCAATGGTGTTAGAATGACAGATAGACGGCACGATTCGCTAGAAACGGGCGTTGCACGCCAGTCGTCGAAACAATTATTAGTCGAAGCGAGGTGAATACGACATACACAACGAGGTCTGGGTATGTCAAGTAATGGCCTTTTGTTTACCAGCCGATCTGCGCACCAGGGATTTCGTAAAACCGTCCACCATAATGGTATCCTAATGCGCGAAGCATGTTTCGATGTCTACGAAGCGAGTTTCTCTTCGCAGAACCGGAGTGGAAAGAAACTGAAGCAGCAAGATGGTACGCGGAATTTTCGTGAGGTAGGACAACAAAATAGTAACTTCGGTCTTTGATCTGTAATCTTCAGCGCACTTACAATAATTAGCGCAAAACGTGACCAACTCGATTTCAATTTCACTTCATATCAAGAAATAAAACAAAATAGATAATACAAGATATCGTAAATTCTCTATTCTAACAAAATTATGATAAATTAATATCACCATATGCGACCTTTTTACTAAAAATGTTGAATAGTTTATCACAGAAATCGCAGTTTTAAAATTTCATTGTTTTTAACAAGAAGAACGGTTTTACTAAAATATCTAAAAATTTGGATACAGATCTAAAAATATTTTTATTGGATTGTCAAAATAATTACGTAGGACGCTTAAGCTACTTGCTGGAAAGACGAAACTTGGATAGAAAGGACGATTTTGTTGAAATATCTAAAAATTTAGATACATATAGATCTAAAAATAATTCTGTTGGACTACCAAATAAGTAGAATAAATATGTAGAACATTCGAGCATTATGAGTAATGCAACAAAAAGTTGCAATAATTTAGCAATCAGTTCAAGCGTCCTACGTAATTATTTTGACGATTCAAAATAAAAATATTCTCAAATTTGTATCCAGCTGTGAATTTTTAAATACTTCAACAAAACCGTTTTTCCTGCGTAGTAATAAAACATAGTAGAATTTTAAAACTATGATTTTTATGATAAGCTATTAGACATTTTTAGTAAAGAGATCGCATATTGTGATAGTAAATTATCATAATTTTGTTAGAGCATAGAATTCACGATGTCTAATCTTCGATTAAAAAGAAAATAAACATTCGTTTGCTCTTCAAAAGATATGTACAAAGTTACGGCGGCCAACCTGATAAGAGAAAACGAAAGCCTCGGGGATTTCTATAAGCGAGTCTCCGGGTTGAGCACCGCGATCGCGCCGCGTTCTCGCTTGAACCATGGACCAGACAAAAGATCCTCACGACCACGCCCTCTCTCCTCGCCGCCTGTGCCCCTCGCCAGACGGCGGCGATGCCTTCACGAAGGTACCTATCCACCGGAAATTCCTAAAGCAACCACCATTGCCGCCGCCGCGCCACGTCGTGCATATCCACACGGTCAGGAACGGAACGGAATGGAACAGAACGCGTGGAACGGCGCGACCTCCTCCAAGTTCTCTCGTGACGCGGTAATAAATGGCCGGGGTTGTATGTATACGCGGGGCGCCCGTATACGAGAGCGGATAAAAGTGCGAATCTTTTCTTCTCCCTCCCCTTCTTACCCCTTCACTCCCGCTGCTGGACAGAGGCACCTCCTCGGCGACGTCGCGGAACGGTATCGAATTTCCGCGAGGCTCCACGGTCGTGAATCCTAGCGTGCGAATGCCGACGACCTCTGACCTCCACGGGCCGCGGATCACGCGCGCGAAAAATCCTGGCGGAGGATAGCACGGCGCCAAGCCGTGTGTGCCTCTTATCTGTTGCATCCTACAGCATGCAGAAGAGTCACAGCGTTCCCGATATAAATTTGCAAAACTCGGTAAACTAACGCGTGATTGAATCGACGACTGTCATTAACCGATTTGATAACAAAATCAGAAATTTCGTTTACAATTAAATAATTCGTGCGAAGAATTGATTTTGAAAATTGCCTTTTTATAGTAATTGGATGGCAATTTCATGATCTCGTAACTCGTAAATCTCACGGCGAGCAGCTACTGTGAACGGTTACCATGTTCAATTCGAACGTCTCGTTCGAGAAAAGCGCGGCGGTCTCGGTCTCGTAGATACTGAAGGAATGTTCGATGACTAACGATTTGCCGTCGACTACTTGACACAGCTGGGCGACAAGTTGTCAGCTACTGTATGATCAACTTAAGCATTATTATCGACGAACTTACGATATTTGATAATAAGATGCGAGTTTTGCACTGATTTAACGTGGGAAGATAGAGATAACGATTCCAAATTTCTAGGTAGCGAAATTTCTTCTAATGTGAGCAGAAAAAGAGTTTGTTCGTTCACTTCAAAAGCTCACATCATACTGCTTTGTTGAATGCAATCCTATATAGCTTATACGTAGTCGCATGCAATAACGACAAGGCGCTGTCCTCGCAATTAAATTCTTTCTCGTTAACGTATTTCCCAAATGCTATGCGTTCATTGATTTCGAGTGTCCTGCATAGATCCTGTATATAGTGTTGTTTAAGGGTGACTCTGCACGGTCAATAATACTGATCAGTAATATTGCATCAGTGATACTACTACTAGACAGTGTGTATTAATATTTTAACCTTATACGATCAGTATTATTGATAATATATTTTACTTTAATTTTACATACATTATCTATTGTACTGTGACGTGGATTCTAAAGCAATACTGATGCTCGAAAATCAAAATCCAGATCATCATCAGTATTCTACATCGATCAATATTAACCGCACACGATTAGTAATATTATCAGTATTTATTAATACTAACAATATTATTGATCATGTAAGGTCATCTTAAGATTTGTAATTCTGGGCCTTTTCTTAACTTCATTAAGAAAAAGGAAAGCAAAATGTGAACGTTGATACACATCAAGCCAATGCCTTACTATTACAAATCTATAGTTATGATCCATTTGATGCTACAGATAGTTCGAAGCATTTTTTCACTGGCCAATTAGTAAAATTATTTCTTTCGATTGGCCACCAAATGCTTCGAAGCATTTGTAGCGTCAAATGGACCGCACCTTTGGACATTTACTATAGACATTCAATATTGAAAACAATAGGATAAACCACATACAAGAAAACCGCGTATGGGAGAGAAGGTATTGACGTTAAAATGATGAAATGCGCGATCCAACGATCGCTGACGTACGCACGTGAGTCAATCGCACATAGTGATCATCAAGAACGTAGTGCGTTTGTTTCTTTGAATCGATTGATTTATTTCATCTTGATTAGCTTTCCCAACTGAAGTTCCAATAGTTATCTATAGCTTTTTAACCATGGAAAGGAGAGATTTATGATACAACGATGCTACGTAATTTAATTTTTTTATTTGCAATTCCAGTGGTGTATTCGACATAGCGGTATCTTTCGTCCGTGAATTCCTGACCAAAGAGAGTTCTTACCTTCCATAATGTACAATAATTAATCTTAGAATAATATCGTTATTGAGTGATATAATATTGCTATCGATACGAAAATTTTACGTACAAAAAATAGGCTACTCTTAATTAAGTAACACAAGTTTTTCATACATTTTACACTTTTAATGATGAAATATTCTTAATCTAAACAAATAACCTAATTATTAAGTCAAAAGAAAAGAAAGAATAAGCGCACCATAAAATTTAATTTCAAAGTAGTATAAAATATGCAGCCCAATTGTGTATATTTCCTCATAACACTTAAATAAAATATGTAACAACACAAAGTAATAACACAAAACTGTTTAAAAATTGAAATCATTTATCACGCTTTCTGTTACAATAATGTTTCTGTTATAAACTACAGATCAGAAAAAATTTGAACTGATAACGGCTAAAATTTTTAAACTTATCTCCATCTATCCTAGCTTTTAGCAGATTAGTTTATCATCAGAACAGACTTTCTAATGACCACTGAAAGCATAGGGCTCAATAACCTCGCTCATTTGTACGTACAATTTACATATCAATAGCATTCTGGAGTTAACATTTGAATAGAATACTTGATAGAAACAAATGAATGCAAACACGGAAAGAACGGTTTTGTTGAAGTATCTGAATATTTAACTAAATACAGATCTGAAAATAATTTGTTACACCATTAAAATAATGAATAGGACGCTTAAATATGATGATGCTTGCAAAAAGACATTCTAGCAATCAGTTTAATTCAATGGCCTACATAATTATTTTTATAGTCCACTAAAATTTTTCGCATACTTCAGTTTTTTTTGTGAAACAGTACGCAATAAAAAAATATATTATATTATTTTTGAAAGAAATTAAACTTGACACGAAAATATAGATGTCTAATTTGTTTAGAGGAAAAATTGCACAAAATATTATTTAACACTATTCCGCAAAATTAATAAAACACCATGTATTCTCGCAATTAATTAACTTACCAGTATGAGTCCTCTTGTGCGCTTTTAGGTGCGAACTCTTCGTGTAAACTTTGTCGCAGCCAGCAACGTCGCATCTGTGAACTTTGCGTCTCTTCAGCGCGTCACCGCATTCACCATCGACACCTAAATTGCCACCGTTTCCACCAACGCCGGCGTTTCCTCTGCCGCCTAAACCGATACCCGCTGCTAGCGCCGGACGTTTGTGGAACACGCTATAATCAGATAGTTAAATTCACAAAAGTTAATCCTAACATTCATGAATAAATAGAAATAAAAATAGTATGCCTTTAAAAAGTTACATTAATAAAACTATAACATTCAACACAATATTTTTCTTTTTTTTTAAAATTCATTTTAGTCGAAACAGATCCTTTGTAAGTAAATTTTATAAAATCACTATAAATAAAGCAGTATAATTCAGTATTTGCAGATTTAGAAGATAAAGTAGAGAGAAAAATACAAGATAAATTAATATATGTGATATTACATATTGATATATGTAATAAACTTCAACAAATTAAATAAAATTCTTCATGGCTCATTTTAATTACAATTTATTTTTATACCTTCTGAGAATTTATTAATGTTTAGCGACAATTATGTCCGACTTATATTAGCTTTTCTCTTGGTATAAGCGAAGAACTCACTCAGTGACCAGTTTTTGATTAAAGGCAAGTAAAGTCGTTCAAAATGAAACGACTGTAGAGATACGAGGTAATATTGTTAAGAAGAAATCAAATACGATTCATAAAACGGTGTAACGCAACATGCCGCGAATTATGATAGGATCGGTCCTGGGATCGCGCGTGCCTTTTTGCGCCCGACGCTCGTAACTATACACTATACATCCGAGATGACATTGATTACGATGAGGAAACGAGCGATAAAAAATTCGCCGTTCCAGTCGTTACCAATATCAATTCCTATATGGACGAGAGACGTCTTCATCGATCGTTTTGCGCTGTAACGTGTAGACTCGATTGCGCGACAGATGATCTCTCACTCCTTCTTTTTCTAAGGAATAACTCTCAGTTCTTTAAAGACACAGCAAGCAGCTGTGTACTTCACAATATAATATGAACTATTAAAATAATATAATATAAACTATTTAATAATAGCTCAATTTTTAATATTTGCAAGTTCATTCTAATTTAACCCGTAAGTAAACGCATAGGATCAGAGCTACTTTTTCTTTTTCTTTTTCTTTCTCCTGGATGGATCCCAATCCACCTAAAAGTAGTCATAGTATCACAAGTAAAAGACGAATCAAACAATCCAATATTTTAACTTCCTCAGGAGAGGAAAGATCCAGAGCCACTTTGTGACGATCGCTGTGTGATTTTGTGCGTTTATTTAAGGATTAATATTACATTGTCATTTTTATATTAAAAAAGTTTGTCTAACATATTCTAAAAGTAACAGGACGATTTAAAAAGTAATATCAAAGACTTAAAATATCCATGTTGATTAAAAATAAAAATTTATTAAGAAAAAAAATACTTAAAAAAGACAAGAAACTTAAAAAGGATAAGAATTTAAGTTTAAAATTGATAATTTTTATCACAGAGTGTAAAATTATTTATTCTAACAATTGAAGTTTAAATTAGTATAATTTGAGTTTTTCTTTATTGTAAAATCAGTGTAATTTATTTTCCCAGATAATGTACTGCTTTTTCATCTAGATAAGTGTACCAATTTCCGACGTTACTTGTAATGCAAAGTTTTCGTTTCGAGCTGGAGTGCCTTTCTCGGTAAGTACTCGAAAAACCGAGCGATTCGTCGAAAGCGCGCAATCGGCCGAATGGCACCGGACCGATCGATGGAAACAAGAAAAGTATATCGGACCGGCTCGATCAATCTCAACTTGACGCACTGAATTCTGGTAGGACTTGTTTTTCCACGAAACTCGTACGTGGCAATAATATAGATAGGTTCGCGTTTTTAGGGCGTGCCATATTTGTACCAGTCAATTTGGCGCAGTGCAAAATATTACCCTCCAATCATTTATGAAGAAAGAAACGAGATAAACACCGAGAGGTAATCTCGGGGATCTGAAGGAATTACATAAGTATCGAAAATTTTGATGCTTTTAAACGATCGCACGTTCAATCACAATTTTTTCCTGAATTTTCAATGCCTCTTACACACCCCGCACTGTTAAATTCATATTTATACTCACAATTTGAACTATTTAATCATTTCTAGGCCGCCACTGCTCCTACTTAATATGTCGTTAATTTAACTAAAATAATGAACGATTTTACTCAAGAAACGTATTAAAATTAAAATATGAACAAATTAATGTATTAAATTTGATTCTCTCTCAAATTTAGTTTATTATTTATTAAGTACATATATTAATATGTTGTTTACTTTGAAGCTAAGTAATTTAATTTTGGTACACATAGAAGTTCAAAATGACAAAATATTATTTAATTCAAAGGATTGGGTTGCTCCATTGATATCTAACAGTGTGTTCATTTTGTTATCATTATAATTTTGCTGATTAAATCAATGCAATGGCTCGTTGGTATAAAGTTATTCTAACATAAAGTTATTCTTGATAGCAATATTTTATATAATATGAATTCATATCGGAACAATAAATTACGGAATGATACTGATCTACGATTCGGGCCGCGATCGAGAATTGGAGGAGTTTTAAACTGGCTAGATAAAACGACGTCTCTCGATACTACTGACGCGTTCTTACCCGCGCCGTATTTCATCGAAGCTATATGAGGGCTCTCGTACCATTTGCGCTATAAACTAGAACGGCGTGTTGCGCGAACTGACATAAATCCGTTTCCAGTCGCGATAATCCGGCTTGCGTCTACCTCAATCCGCCCCTCAGAAAGTACCAAGCTATGTGTCTTTGTTCATTCGTGTTTCTCTCTCTGTCGACACATAAACGCCATGGAAAATTAATTATTCGCTGTACTTCAATATGAACTAACAACTGCATATTGCCTCCTAACATACTTTTCTAACGATCTTGCTGTACACGTTACAGTCCGTTAACCCTCGCGTTATAGCGGCGAGAAGACCGCACGTTTGCGATCCACGTGGCAGAAACACATCGCAATGCATTTTAAACAAAAAACTATGAAGCTAACAAGTAAAAACATGCATATTCCACAGTTGCAATCTATAGACGGCTTCCTATTGTAGACAGAAGTTAAAACCTGATTTGTCAAAATGTGACAGGAACGTTTATGTAATGTCACTCACTGAAAGTTAAACTGTGCAACTAAGTAAAAGTTAGAAAAGTCAATGTGACATAATAAAAAAATTGTAACTACTAATCAGCTAGACATAATAAATTTATACAGAAAGAACGTTTAGCTAAAGAATCTAAAAATCTAACTAGATACTGGATTTAAAAATAATTTTGTTAGACTATCAAAATAATTATAATAGATTTAAGCTAGAATATCAAAATTTTTTGTAGTATTATTATCATGCTTAAGATTTTTATATAATTATTTTTCCAACAAAACTTTCAAATCTGTATCTGTCTAAATTTTTAAATACTTCAGCAAAACTGTTCTTTCCGTGTGACAATTTAATAGACACAAAAGCGACTGAGATATATATTTATTACAAAATTTACTGGATCATTTTGTGCAAGTTATAATGTTGTACTTTTTAAAAGACTTTGAAGAATAAAAATTTAATTTAATGCAAAATGTAATTATGCCAGAACACCTCTAATATAAACCAATTAAATACGAAATTTATTTTAAGATATGTTTTTCTATGCGGCGAATTCATCGCAGATTTTTCATAAAGAATATCCACGACACATGGATGCACTAGGAGTCGCATTGTGTATATAAGGTATTCGACTTGAGATGTGCTCAACGTACGTATAAAGAGATAAAAAATGTACACAAAAAACAAATTTACATCGGATGCGATTTATAATTATTTCTTCATCATACGTGGGTTAAGATAAAAATTACCGTATAAAATTCAAATTAAGAACAGTATAATCGCTTACTAGATATTTACTAAATTCTTGAATAAATTTAAGCTTAAAATGATTCTCACGCGTTTTTTCATATTTTTAGATAACGATCAATTTTTCCAACGAACTAAACTCAACCACCAACTGAAAGATCCGTTTCAAGGATAAGGGCCAAACAAAGCTCGTGCGCAACGCGCCATATAGATACGCTGATTTGCAAAGAGCGTATAATGGATCGGCGTCACGCTAATTGGGCGAAAGGAGCGAGTCGAAATTACTTAGGCGCGTGCTTGAAAGAAATCGTGACGGGACGTGTAAAATGAGGTTTGTTAGCGTGCGCCGGGTGTCACGAGATTACTATGTTTCTTAGTGTGTGTCAGAACACGGTTTCTATAATGTTAGATGGATCGCGGGAGAAGCCCGGGCACAATGGAAACGACAATCGCGCGGGTGCGCGGCGAGAGCAAATTAAACGAGATTTACAGCGAGCGCACGATCTTGTCCTATTAACCCTGGACGTACTTATGCATTCGATGAAATACGGCTATACGTAAGAATCACCATCGTGAATGAGTACTCGCGATACCCTGCTGCTTTCGACCGATTGTAAAACGATAATAAAGTCAGTCTTTGTATTCCGCATGGCAATATATATACAGTTAATAAGTTTAAACGCATGGTTCTGCATTGTTTACTGCATGTCTTCATTCCCAACAATTTAAATGTTATACACGTATAAATACATACATTATCCAACGAGAGAAATAAAGACAATAAATTAATTTGGTCAAATAAACAACATTTTTCTCAGTGCAGAAATATTTTTGTTGCGTTATTCAAATTGGCTATGGTACTTTCAATATACATATAAGTTTTACATGTGCGAATTCTCCCTTAGATGATCTATACGATTCGCGAGAGAAAATTTCTTTAATTAGAATTACTGGAGACACTAGCGGGACATTAAATTATTCCCACATTATCCATCCACAGTGCAGACTTATTTAACATACATCCATACATCGTTACGTGTTACGCTGGCGGCAATACCAATTATCAATTAATCATCAACTTTTATCACACTCTCGTCTCAATCACGCTGTACCTAGTCTTTAACTTCGCTATTCTCCTCGGCGTTCTCTCGTCGTCTTTACGCAACGCGGACACGCCTGTCTAAGTGGGAGACGCAACAGGTGAATAATAATACTTACAGAGAAGCGTCCTTTATCCTCTGCAACGCGAGAAGGGCCGCAGTAGGGGAAATGAAGACAGACTCGGGTGGTTCCATCATGCAGACCGATACGTCCCTTTCCCGGTCTCGCGCCTCCCTCTCCCTGATCGCGGGTTCTCTTTCCTGTTGACGTTCCCTCTCGTTCTCGCCGCTCCTTTCCCGCACCCTCTCGCGCTCCCGGTTCCTCTCCCGGCTTCGATCACGATCATGATCTCTGTCCCACGCTGTTTCGCCCAACGGTGGCAAAGACGGGGACGCTGCAAAAGAAATAACATTTCCTCCATTTATCCCTGCTTGGTTGCTTGCTAGAAAAATGTCAATAATAATAACAATAATAGCTTGATTGCGTATATACAAGATTGCTTTATGATAAATCGGATAATTACAAAGAGCTGAATGAAAAAGATATACTGCACGCAAAAGGTGAGGGGCACCATCTATGATGCCTATTTGTAATAAAAACACGATGATCGGAGCGCAAGATGGATAAAAACGTGAAACACATAGAAAGTAAATAATTGTACTTTGTTTTGACATGAATTATTTGAGTTCAAATTGTAGAACGAATCTTAACATTTATCAATAAATGGATAATTTATAAATAAATTTATAAGTAAATTATCCAAGAACTTGCAGCTAGGGAAATTTATGATTAATCCAAACGGGATTCTATAAGAGAGACCTCCCGATTTAACGGAAAGCATGATTCACTGCATACGCGATGGCGATGTTAATATTCGTTTTCTAATCTAAGGGGCCGGATTACACCGAGGGATATTTCTGTATTGAGAGGGATAAGCCGTTCTCGCAGATTGGAAACCTATTTCTGAGAACCGGTATCACCTGCCGTCTAACTGATTACGGTATTTTACATAATTACGCGGTATCTCTCGCACCTTGTAAGGAACGTGCCGTGTTTCGAGTAATAGCTACTATCGCAAAATGCTCAAAAGTAAAATCGCGAATAACTATGTTCCAAGAAGTTATCAAATGCAAGCGAAATAATAGAAGCAACGTGCATTTTTTTTTTATTATATATGATATCTACGTGTTTGCCACTTTGTGCGAACGTGCCGTGGCACGTCACGGTGCCCTCGATCCATCAGCGATCGAGGATCGAAGGTCGATGTCAGGCGAGTACGATGCAGCTCATGCAACTTCTCGCGAAATAAATCAACGGAGCGAATAAAGCGCAAGCATTCAATGCATCTCGCGCTCAAATCCACCTCGAGATCTCCCAATTCCACGCGACGGTGTGTTACAAATCGCTTTATAATCTCTTTTTACAGAATTGCACGAGTAATCGGACTTGTCTTGAGACTTATCATTACGATCGCGAGATTTTCTGCAAAATTTTGCGACTATCATGAATCGTTTCCACGTAAATTTCTATATACTTTAAAAATTGGTAGTTTATTACCGTATTACATAGCATAGCATTGCAATTTACTTCGCTATCGAGAGAGTTTTGACGACCTTTGACCCGTTGACACCGCGACCGGCCAGCGTTGAATCTGGCCGCTGCATGTATCTTGCAGCACGTTTTGCGATTTGTGAGCCGACTGACAAGCATGTTAAATGTCCGTGACATTACTGTTACTAATTAGTAGTCGCGTTAGCAAGGCAATACATTCACGAGATCGAGCGGGAAGATGCGACGGCTTTGCGAGACTGCTGTCGATCGTATTGCCGATAATATTTTGACTACACGTCTTTCATTCATCATAGAAGTTGCCTCCTTCACTATCTCTTCTAATTGAGGTAAAATTGTAATTTGCAAGCTTATTTCGTTACGATGGTTTACCCGCATGTGTGATCATCATCATGCAATTTCGATTGCACAAAACCGCCGAGTTGTTTTGATAATCCAAAAGTTCCTTTGATTCCGTTTATAATCTATCAGGATGAGTGATAAGAAGGTTCAAAATATTACAAGGATTTGTTTTAAATAATAATTTCGTTTTAATAAATTATTTTAGCGTACAATGTGTGCTTAACGACAACTTAACACAAAACTACTCTCTTTTGGAGTAGAATCTCACTTTAAAGAATGAAAATTAAGTCAATCTTGAAAAAGAGTGATTCAATTTTCAATCTTTAAGAGTGAAATTTTACTCTTTGGATTTTACTAAAAGTTTTAGAGAGTACTCTCTCATTCATTGTTCGCTTCAAAAAATAAATAAAAAGTTATCAAAGATTATTTCAAAGATGCATGGAGAAAGAACAATTTTAGATATGTTCTACTTGGCGTTCGCAACGCGAGCATCATTTCATCCTTGTTATTTACCAAATATTAAACAAAAATAAAATGATGCTCACAACCACTACAATCGTCAAGTGGAGCGTATTTTTTGCTGAAGTATCTAAAACATTAGCTAGCAAAAAGCTTTGATTTTCTAGCAACCAGTTTAAGTGTCCTAATAAGAAAAAATATATTAAATTTTAATAAATATTTGTTTGAATAGTACTTGAATAGTACCTACTAGCTAAATGTTTACTAAATATACACATATTATACGTATTTATTTCATACAAGAACCGTTAATTTGCTCTAACTATTATTTTCTTTGTTTATTCGTCGTAAATATATGTTAAGTTAGTATTATTCAAACAAATATTTACCTAAATTTAGTACATTTTTTTCAATATATACCTACATAATTATTATTTTTATGGTCTGAGAAAATTATTTTCAGTTCTGTATCCAGCTAAATTTTTACTGCAATAAAATCGTTCATTTCGTTTATCATTAAAGAAAAAAATTACTCTTTCTGTTTGCCATTAATGATAAATAATATGACGATGATTTGTTTTCGATACCCATCTAACCGATCATCAATTATTCGTTTTGTCATAGCAGAATTCTCGTGAGCGATCTGGAGGCGGTCAAGCGTCTTCGAATCGTATCAAGGAATCATTATGAATTCAGTCGATCAAACTACGATGTAACAGCACAGCAACAGCAGTATTATTAGTTGCAATTTCCGTGCGCCGGACGGGGCGGCTTCGCTTAATTAGCCGCTGCTTCGGATACTTTTTCCCTTTGTTCCTTTGAAGTCTTGTTCAGGACGTCTCGTTATGGCCATTAACTCTTCTCGTAGTTCTAAAGACCCATGATCTTCGTTATCTAATGGAGAATGCAGTCGTCACTATTGGAAGCGATGTGATGTGACAGAGCTCCGTCTGTCGATGTTTTGCATTTCACTCTAATTCTTTTTCTTCTCGTTTTCTTTTTCCCGCGACTAACTATTAACGTGATCTCTGACATTAAAATATAATAATGCTTGTAACTGGCGTATGGGGTATGACGCGTTTAATTATGCTTCTATATAAAAAGGGGTCGGCTTCCGGTAAGAAGTTGAATTAACGATTAAGAGATGGAATTCGCGTAGACAGTCTGGTTCAAGTAACTCTAGATTAATAATCGATATACCATCTCTTTCCACATTATACTATTTTATAATACATATATGCAAGGAAGGAAAGATTTAATTAAAAAATCTAATTAATTTTAATCGAATATGTGATTATAAATTCGAGCTCAAATAGCTATTCTGTATAATGATATTACAGTTGAAATATATAGATACCAGCCATTCGTGTACATTTATAATAGAAATCGTCCTTCCTTAATTTATAGAATTATGTAAAATTATATCAAATCATAGGATTTTGATTTTATTTATCGAGAAAAAAAATCCTCTAAAGTACTTTATTCTTAAAAAAAAGATCCTCTAAAAGATTTTATTCTTCGAGGAGAAAAATCCTCTCAAGGATTTTATTTTTCGAGAAGAAAAATCCTCTTTCCGCAGTACCTTCGCTACTGTTTCTAAAATTGTTAATTACTATAAAGCTCAGCGCATTTGTAGTAAACATCTTCTTCTGTTGCTCGATTATCATACTAACGCTGCAACGGTGAGACCATCCCTCTCGCGTTCGCTATATCATCGCCTCGCCCACGCTAGCGATAGGGTTAATCCTAAGCATTAACAGTAATACGTGGTCTTAGCATGTTTTGCCTTTCTGTCCGTTTCACCTTCATCTTCCCTCTAGGAACTCGCTCCCACTCTCGCGAGGTCTTTACTCTTGATTTTTTCACTTCTTTTTTCTTTTTTCTTCGCGCATAGGTATTCGAAGTTTTCTCTCTCTCTCTCATGCGCGTAAGGGAACATCAAGGGGGGTAATTGATAATGTTAAACGCCGGGGTTAATCCGTCGATTTATGAGTAGAGTTTGCACCGTAGATTTTTTAGAATCCGCCAAATTGAGGGATAATCGTCCGACGTTAATGCCTCGCTGCTAAAGATCGCCGCGCGAAGTCGGGGGTTTGATTGAGAGAGATAAGTAGGAGTTCGCGGAGGTTTATAGCGCTTCGCGTGTCCAGTGGCGAATAAAAGAACCCCGCTAATCCGCCAAGAAAAAGAGGGGGTTGCCTGAATCGGCTGAGAGAATCGATCTCGCGTTAGACGCGGTGCGCGGGCGTTGAAGATAAAGCGCTTGCCTCGTGACCCGGAGCCAAAGATAGTCACTCGTTGTAGGATCCTGCGTTTGCAACGATGCGATTTAAGTTTTGCGACTTTTGAATCACGTCATAATACTAATCCGTGATGGTGACTTGTGCCAAGAAGCTTATGCGTGTTTAGATAAATATTAACGTAATGGATATAACGTAGGAATATAATAGGGATGAAAGTGTTAATACATGAAAAGAGCTTTTGAAAGATCTAAAATTTTGCTGGATGCACAGATCTGAAAATAATGTTAGACCATCCAAATAATGTTGAAAACTAAAAAATGATGAACAAAAAAAATTAATATTCTAAAACAATTAGTTTGAGGTTCTAACAAAATTATTTTGATGCTCCAATAAAAATGTTTTCATATTTGAATTCAGCAAAAATTTGAATCTTTCAACAAAAGCGTTCTCTCCATGAAGTAGCATAGCAACAATCAAAATAATTATATATAAAAATTAGAGAATATTGCATGTGATTGAATGATCGAGAGAGATTTAATCGTCTAAAGCCGACGGTGAGTTTATTGGATCCACTCAACCATAAATTTCTTTGTAAAAATGATAAGTTTAATTCTTTTATATTACATTTGCAAATTTTGATTATTCTTATTAAAATATACTTAGAATTCATTCTTTTTTATACAAATTACGTCATTTTGGTTTCTTAAATTAATTAATGCTTTTTATTAACATAAATTAAATGGGTTTTATACAGTCAGCTTTCAGTAAATAATCAGTTCCGGAAGGTTAACAATGGGTGTTACCCATTTATTGACACAAGTCGACACGAACATCATATTCTATCTTTCTTGACATTCAGAGAGTAACAAAGATAGAACAACATTTATGTCACCAAATGTCAACATCGCATTCAACTCAAGCGATCACTAAAAGGCTTTTTAAAGAAGTAGAAAGACGATTTCGAACACATCTGTGTCATTCACGAGTGAACGATTGGCGGTTCCCGTTTACTCCACGATTCGCCCGGCAACATCCATTATTACGCGTCGTATAATCCAGCGGGTGGGCGCATTAAGGTTAGCCGCACGGAAATATGCGCGAGTGCTCGCGTGCGCGTGCACAGGATGGAAGGTGGGTGGACATGCCACCCGCGTTGCGGAACTCGTTAAGCTTTATGTGTTTTCAATTAAGTTTCCGGGCCCGCGTACACGCGGCGCGTAGATTAGCGCGGGCGGCCGCGCGCTTGGATCGATTAATCGTCGGGTATTATCTCTCGCCCCTCATGTGCCGCGGGGGCCACTACGATGTTTAGAAAATTTATCGATGACGGTTCGTTGTACAAAGCACCGGTTATCCATCAGGTGCGAAGATAACGCGCGCGATAACGCCTAAACGTTATTCACGCGAAGTGCCGTAAGTCTATCCACAGAGCGTTCGCAGCTCGAAAAGGAACCCACGGATGGGATCGCTGAACTTTCACGCCGATATCTGTGTTTTGTAGGAAAAAGGAAAGAAATTCGCGTGGGCCGAGACAATCGGAGATACCGTCATCGGTGGGTGTAATCGAAGTGTAAATTTTATTTAGATTATTTAATTATGATAAGAATATATAGAATAAAAGATATATTGGCGTAACTTATTGCTTTAAGATGACTGATTGTAGCAGCGACATGTGTATAAACATACATGGAAAGAACAATTTTGTTGACGCATCTAAAAATTTAACTAGATACAGTTTTGAAAATAATTTTGTTAGATCAAAATTATTGTATAGAACATTCAAATCAGTTTAAGCATCCGACATAATTATTTTGATATAGTCTAACAAAATTATTTTCAGATCTGTAACTAGCTAAATTTTTAGATACTTCATCAAAATCGTTCTCTCTATACGTTGTAAATAAAAAATATATTCATAATATAAAAATGTCGATACATTATTAAATTAAAAAATTATATAGACAAGAATATGATTACGTTATAAAATGTGTACAAGGTAATGCTTCTACAAAACGGAATTTTTTAAAAATTGCAATTATCATAACTTTATAATTTATCATCATTTTCGGTGTTAATTTTATATTTTTTGATAGAACTTCAAATATAATTGTTATTGTTAATGTTATAAAAGTGCAGTCACAAATATCAAACATAATCTTTCTCTCAGTACGATTTCACCAGAGTTGGTAAAAACAAATGTTCTTTTTAAAGAATAAAAGATACTGTGTTTCTTTTTAAATATGTTTTTAATGCTTCAAATATGTTTTAAACAGTACTATAAAAAAACATATTTAAAACATATTAAAAACATCAATTTAGCATGTTTTAAACTATTTAAAACACGTTTAAAATATTTTTTACTAACTGGATTTCACGCGTCACAAAACGCACTCATGTTTGCGCGTCAGAAATCATTCTGGAAATAATAAAAGTTCATTTTTCGTCGTATTTACGGCTTCAAACGCGGGACTTGCGCGACGCAAACGCGGGATGAACGATTATTTTTTTGTCAAACCGCACGTTGACGTGTCTTTATTATAATTAAATGCAGTCTTGTGTACGGTAATTGACAAAGACGTAATTGCAATAGTGTGATGAAAGTAAACTCGAAAATGCAGTTATATACGTCAATTTCTTGCTCGAAATCGCGAAATAACCGTTTCATGCTTCTTATAATTTTCATTGAAGTATAGGTACATTAACGCGTGATAGACGACATATTGCAATTCATTGTTCAGTCACAATAATTCTTTACTAGAATCTAAAAAGTCAAATAAAATTCTTTATAAAAAATTATTCAGATCTTACCAACCATCATTTGTCGATTTCAATTAATACAAATGATGTACATGCCACAAGAAGTACATCATTCATTAAGGGGATACTGGAAAGCGAATTACCGATATTTACATTTCGCTCGGTTTATCTTCGAATTGGCTTTACAGAATCGTAAAAATCTTGTATACAATTAAAGTTAATACATGTTGAGGAATAGTGAGAACTATCAATTTTATGCTAAGAATGAAAAAATATACCAAATTACATTTAATATTACTTATATCTACATCGATCTTAGGTACAAGTGTCAACTCACGACAATGTTTGATTAGTATAAAAATTCTATAAATCGTATGTGCAAAATATTCAATGCCACTATGCGAATTATATTATTAAATTTATAATGTCAAATTTAATCTAATTTAAGTTGCTAATCTAGTTTAACTGCTTCTACTCAATATGTCGTTATTTTAGAACAACGAAATTAACTAAATTATATAATGTCAAATTTAATCCAATTTGAACTATTTAACTCCGTTGCTTTATTATAAAATAATATATTTAGTAGGAGCAGTGGCGACTTAAATTAGATTAAATCTGACATTACAGATTTAACAGTGTAGGTACACGAAAGAGCAACACAGTATTGATAAAAATAAGATTACAAGCCTATAAAAAAAGGAGTTTAAATTGAAATGCTTTCATGCACATTTCATTTAGGTACACCTAAAATATATGTGCAGAATAATAAACAGAACGATAATTGTATTTAGCAGTAGGTGCTCGATCTGGTAAGAGATGACGAGAATATTAAATAAGGATAGATGTACGCATTTGAGTGAGCTTGAACGATAAGGTAAGAAACTGAATTAAAGATTTCGCCATTATCGATATTTTTAATTTGGAATTAACAAGTCATACTATCGACATCGATCAAGTCGCACCGGCATCTCTTTAATAATCCAGAAGATATCGAAAGAGCAGTCAGAATCGACCGCTCATAAAACACAAAAATATACGATGATATCCAGATTAAGATATGCAGAAAGTACATCGATTTATATGTGTTGCATTAATCTACGAACTTTTACGACAGCGCCCACTATTGCTTCGTAATAAATTGCAACTTCGTTATCATGTCCCTTGAGTATCGTTCCTTTTTTTTATACGTGTCGTAAATATTACGCTATCAAAATTAATGCGCGTGCATATGCATGCGAATGAGTTTTTGCAGTCGTTAATGAAATACTTTTTATATGCGGTTCTTGCTGAATGTAAAAGTATCACGTAACGTTAATAAAAATCACGGCGCACATGCGATATATTATTATCGCGCGGATTCAACTTTGTGTAGCTTTACTGTTTATTTATGAAGAACGATAAATATTAAACTTTGTCATATATATCTTGCGCCTCTAAAAATAAAAATCTTGTTTTCAATAAATATTTTTATGTTTACATAACTCACTATTTTTATCACATATATCTTTATACACGATGGATCACATTTACAAAATCAGGCAGATGCGTACTTATACTGACAATAAGAGAATAAAATGGTTGCAATTACCATAATTTAACTATAATTTACAGTCACTTTTGGGATAATGGTACCTATATTTATTTTAATCATGCATATATAGTCA